ATGGTTCACCACAAAAACCAGCTATAAGAATCGAACAAGAACAAGTTAGCACTGTTTGCTCTAATGTGAATACTGAGTCACCCAAATAACTCTATTCCTTTGCCTATGAAACTTGTTTTAATGTCATGGCTGTGATCTAAATCACGTCACAACTCAGACCCCACAGAGAGGAAGCCCAGGGAGAAGGACTGTCCCTACTTTGCACAGGCCCTTCCATTTTCTGATTCCTACTCCAGCAGCCTCTCTGGCCAACTTTACGAAAGAATGACTTAAAAACACCTCTTCAAAATTCTGAGTTTTTATTGCTTTTACCCAAGACCATAAAGCCAAGAAAGAGCAAGCTCAGCACGAAGTTTCTCTTGTGAAAAATCCTTTCTGGCTAGCGCAATGGGGCCCATTAAATTACCAGGTATGCAGAGTCAATCACAAAATGTGCGACTCAGCTCTCAGGTATATTGATATATGTGATACGGTTGAATTAACAGCTTGGCGTTGAAATAGGGTAGCTCCCTGCAGCCTCATGACTGTATCTGCTGATGGGAAGAGAATACATATCACATAGGTGAACAGGACCTTTAATTAAAGATACTGTCTACAAATCACCCAACGTGGTGTGGGAACACTGTGGGTCCAAAAAAATTGTTTATTAATTATTTTCACTTGAATTTCAATTCTTGCTGCTGTTGAGACCTCTAGGCATATTTGAAGGGTCAACAACAAAATTTTACAAGTCATTTGGCACACCGATCATGGAATCTATTTCAACTGTGAAAAACACCAAAAAAAAAAAATGCGTGTAGTAGTTTTTAATAGTTGTACTACTACAAAATACCAAATATAAATCTAAAATGTTTAAATATTCCATGTGCAGAGTACCAGCCTTGGTCACTGAAGGTGGTCTTAATATTTCTAGGAAGGTGGTCTTAACATTTCTAGGATTTAAGTGTTCAGAGTTTTAGTTGGAATGCTTCATAATAAACTATAGATCATTTGACCAATAATGAAACAATTTCTGCATATGATCTGGGTGTCAGTTAACAGGATCAAAATCAAATTTCATTGTAACTGTAATGTAGAAATTCTGAACTCTAGGGTAAAAAAAAAATCATTGTATTATTGCTTGTTTTTCCCAAGCATAAATTATTTTTAAAGTACACAAGAAACCTTTAGCAATGTCCTTGGGTAATTCAAAACACTGTATGTAGATGACTACCTTGGAATGAGAATGTAAATTAGACAATAGTCACTAATATAACTAAATTTGACAGTTTCCAGACTCTGATATGTGTAGAAATAATCCTCGATCTTATCAGTCTGCAGACCCATTCATACTCTTAAAAATCTCTAATGGCCCCCAAGAACTCTGGTTTATATAGGTTATATTTGTGGGTACCTACTGTATTATGAATTAAAATAGGAGTTTAAAAGATACTTAATAATTGTTCTTATAAGCCCATGACATTAATATAAGCAACATTTTTAATGCAAAGTAACCATATTTTTCTAAGCAAGAACATTTAGTGAGAGGAATAACATATTATTTTTGATATATCAGCACTTTTAAAAAAAATTCTATTTCTTAGTCCGTTCTTCTGACATGCCCCTTACATTGTCCCTGAAACAATAATCAAAAGATGATCCTGGCCTCTCAAAAAATGAACTTTTATCATTATTAACCTGTATCTTTCTAAATGAATAACCAACCTTTGAATTAAGTAGTCCTATTTAATCTTTGATAAATCTTCTTCATACTTTTAAGAGAATTATCCATCTTTATGAAAAGAAAACTGAGTACATGAATAACCAAACATTCATACCCACTTACATAATCACCCCAGTTTTTATTTTGTGCTTTCATTCCGAACAGAAGCATTTAGTGAAATGTAGAAGCAGAAGAGTTCTAAATAAGAAGGCAGATCACTATAAACATCATTAGTGTTTGACATTCTCATCTTCTCACCAAAGAATTCTGATTAGCTCAAAACAATCTAGGAATTGAAATCACAAGTAAACTAGGGGCTGGCATTCATCATTTTTGGAAACCTTACACAAATTTGGAGCTGAGATAGGAAAACTATCTTAATGAGATGTGATCTCTGCATTTACAAGATAGAATAAAACAATACAGTGAACTATAAAATAAGCAACTATAGACTATGAAAGGTACCAGAAGGGAAGCAAAACAGATGAGAGACAGAAAGAATCTGCAGGTGGGCATATTGTTGGAGGGGCACTAAGGCAAAGCTGCAGTGTAGCAGTGATCTTGAAAGCCAGAACGAGGACCCTGCTGCCCAAAGTGGTGTCCATGTGCTGGAAACACTGGATGTTTGTGACAAATGTCGAGTCTGGAACTCCTACGGCCTCAGACCCGCGGGGTCAGACTCTGCCTTTCAAAAAGGATTCCCTGGTAATTTAAATGCACATTGAAGCTTGAGAGTATGGACCTAGAAGATGCGGAACAGTCAGCCTTATACAAAGTCGAGAAAGAATATTTCAGGGTGAGGTAACAAGAAGCGGGAAACTCTGACGCAAGACAAGGTGTGGTTTGCTGGAGATGCTGAGGGACAGCCAGTGTGAGCAAAGCCCAGGGAAGGAGGAGCGCGTGAGCTTAAGGAGCCATCAGTGTAATTACTGCCCCTGTCACCAGAGGGTGGAACCTGTGCTGATGTTTCATAATAAAATTCCGCTCCCTTGTCAGTCCCTGAAACTGGCAGGCTGAAGTACCAGGAAACACCTGAACTATCTGTACCCACTGCCTCTGAGTGGACCCTTTCGTCTCTATGGAACTGAGGCTTCGGCAGCTTTCTGGGCAGTTCCTTTATGATACTGAGTGATCCTGATTACGGTCCAGCAAAGCGCTGACTTCTCCCTTTCCTCCTTACGGAAGTTCTGCTGGGCTTGCAGGGAAGCACCCGCCCTGTCCAGCTCTTGTAGATATTGCTTCTTTCATCTCATAAAAATATTTCTTCCAACTTTGTGATATCTGAGAATTTAATAAGGAGGAATTGTTTTCAAAATGAAAGCTCACCATTCAGTCTTCTCAGTGTTCATAGATGCTCTAATTCCGTTATTTACCCCACTTTTGTGGGATAAGTCTTTGGCTCTGAGTAATTGAAAGCGGCTGACAGCCGACTGATGTTTCTACACTGCTTCCTTTAGAACACCACAGTATGAAGGGTTAGATCAAGTCACTATCAGGTAAGTTTGTCTTTTTCCACATTTATAATTCAATTACCAGGAAGACTGAAGGGACGTAAGTAGATATTGGTGGTAAAATAACAACTGAGATCAACTCAAGTTTGGCACGTGTGTGCAGAGCGGGGCTGCAACACTTGTGTGGCTGCGGGGAAGGGGACCGAGTTAGCACTGCCATCTTCCTGTTCCTAAAATGAATTCTGGCAGGAGATGCAGCTGTGAGGGGCAGAGGCAGGCACGCACACTGAGGTGTGACAGAGCTCAGGGCACGCATGTCTCTAGTGTCAGTCATGGACTAAAACTAGATTCCAGAAAAAGCCGGGCTTGCACCTGGGAGTTCATTAAGAGACCAACGGCCTGGCAGGGAATCACCAGTCCACCGACAAAAGCTTATTCTCAGGATGACCAAAGTCAAGGTTTCACTGCCTCCTAAAAAGCAACTTTGCCTACTTTTACGTTATCCAACCTCCTCATTTCACTGTCAAGAAACTAAGGTAATTAGTTTATACAAGAAATGTGAACATAGCTGCAACACACCAATCATCATCTAAGTGGACATAAATGAATTCTGTTGCCCACAAGAATTGACCCAATGAAGAAGGATGAGTGCTTATGAATACAATTTAGAATTTTTTTTAAAAGCATCAGATTGATGAGAACAGTTATTTTTGTGTATCCCAAAAGAAAGTAACGTTCTCTGTACTCTACCATAGAAAAATCCAAAAGAAACTGTGGACAAAATAATAATATGTGGTGTGAGGGTATTGCAATATTACAAATGCTTGAGACTTTCTGTCTCTCAGGAGTCTGAATATTTTAATTTTGATTCTGCAAGATTATCCTACTCTAAAAGTGAAGCTTTTCCAGAGTGGCAAGGGCTGTAGTCGAGGGGTGTAAGGGAGACATTCACCATCTTGATTTCAGCACTGGCTTTTCCAACTCTTTCTACTGTGTGAAAACCTCTCAAATTTCAGACTCTATCTAGGTGAAGTCTTCTTCTGTCAATTGTACTTTATAAAGTTGTTTTATAGAAAAAAATGAGTCTTTCTCCTCCCAAGTATACCCAAATCTGATAAATATTTAAATAATTCTTCATACTGAGAAGAGGGCCAACATCCTGATAAAATGGACACATATAACTTCAGGATGAAGCCAGATTGTATCGATTTGTCCCTTCACACAAATTGTAAACATAGAAACATTTCAGTGAAACACTGAGAAAAATATATAAAAGAACTGTGAACCAAATGTTAAGAGCAATATTGAGCTAAATATAAAATTTCTGCCAATAAAGAGAGCATAAAGAGGCATAAAGAGGCAAGGCTTTTATCTGGAAAATATTGGCTAACCAAATACTTTTCAGATTCTAAAAATACACCAAGTATATATATATATATATTATTAATAATATAATGGCAAAATATACATACTGAAGAGCCTTAGAAAAATTGATTTGATTTTTCAAGAAATATTCGGGTGAGTTAGGAACTACTACTCAGTCAAAATATCAATACTAGATAGAAAATACCAGCAAGAGTATAATTGAAGGTCTCTGTAGTTTTTTTACCTGTGAAAGATTTATGGTTGGCTATTTCTCATACTTTTATACTGCTGGATGCCAATGCAATATTCAGATATAAATTACATTAAAATATATTATATACCAATGCATATGACTGAATAAAATATAGTCTACAATAAGCTGACCTATGAACAAATAGTAGAAAGTGTTTTGAAGTAGAAAACAATATATCGTTCATTTCTGGATTTACAGAGGTGGACAGAAAGGAAACATTGGTACTTACTTTCCCAGTGTATTGGGTAGCATTGTAAGTTGATTGTCATCTACTTTTAGAGTAGTCAGTTTTTTCAACAGTCCTGAAATAGAGAAGAAGGCTTATTCATACACTAGAGCAGGTTTATAATGGAGACTGTCATATAGAACAAGTCAGAGGAATCCCTTGTGATGACTGCTTGTCATGCTAATTGGTTGTCTTCTGGTTATATAATCCCATAAACTGGTACAGTATTTGTGTGCAGTCTGGTTTTGACTTTCTTGCAAAAAGTTCACTCCCACCAGGGGGAGTTCAAGAACATCAAGGTAGACCAGTAAACAAAACCAAGGCTCCATATGCCCCTGTGTTAACACAAATGCTACTTCATTTCCTTTTGCATTTTTCAACAAAAGGACCAGGTGAGGTTTTTCAAACCAGCTGTGATTTAATATTTAATTGACTCCTAAGCACTAATAGCTAACATTCCTGTTGTGAGGCAGATCAAAAACCTGAATTAAGCCCAGTACCCAAGGAATGAATACTTGCAAGGCAGTGCTCATAACTGTGGACTTGGAAAATTACAACATATGACCTCATATTCTTTTCTGGTAGTGTAAATCTTTAACTTGGATCAGCATAACACAGAAACTTGCAATTTTTAATATAGCAGATGGACCCTGCCAAGAATTAAAGTTACAAGTATTTATCTTTTACTGTCTGATTTATGCCCTCAATACCTTTATGGCTTGCTCTCTTTCCAGGGTCTAAGTGAGCAATGGCCACACAGTAATTGAGCAGCAGTTGCATTTGGGATAATCCCCTCCTCATCCTGCCAAATGCAACCTATCAGATCAATACCTCTAAGCAGTCAAACTCCAAGGGTAGAGCATTAACATTAGGTTAGTTTTGTTTTATATTGGAACTATAGTTATATTTACTATACTTATATTATACTATATTTCTATACTATACTATATTACATTTATACACTACAGATTACTGTGCACTGCAAACATATATATTTTTTGAAAATATATTAAATGCCATGGTCAAATATGCTTTGAGAAATGTCAAATTAAACAAAATTGTACAGCTTTCTTTAATGAACTTTCTTTAGAACCTTTTAATGTACTGATGGAATAACGTGACCCTCCAAAGTTATTGTAAAAGTGTGTGTGTGTGTGTGTGTACCTGCAGAGTATCTTTAAAAGCTGGTGCTATGGTGAACATGTTTTGAGGCCATGCTTACCCCATCTCAAGCATTTTGAGGACAAGGCAGAATCAAGCCACAAAAATCTCTGAAATTAAGCTGTCGTGCTTCACATTTCAGGATACTCATTTACATTCTTTAAAAGAAGCTTTCAGAATCTCTACTCCAGCGGAGAGAAATGTTATCACTTTTGGACCGCTGTGAGAAAATACCTACAACATCCGGAGCTTAGTACATCAGCTGAAAACCACAGCACCTGGGAAAGAGGACGATTTGCTCGACACCAATTCAGCTCTGAAGTTTGAACACCCGCTGCTGTATTCATCTATGTTCAAAAGGTATTTGAATCATCTCAGCGCTACTGTTTATGTTTGAATACCAACTTTGGAAATAGAAAAGAACACCTGAGCTTGTTTATCAGTTGTGGAAAGAAAGCAGGGACTATGAATGACAGCCACATTTTTAAAGACCTGCTATCCCTGACCAGATAGATCGCTGCTACTGCACAGCGCGGATCTGGCAGAGATTGACAGTTTTTGCATCATTCAACCGGGCAAACACTACAAAGCCAGGTCACCAAGCAGTCTGTAGAAAGATCTCACAGTCCTTTGTCTACCTGATAAAATCTCGAGGCAGGCTAGGGACCAAGGCAACCGATGTTTCTGAAGATCGGGGCAGTGACTCCTCTTAGAAGGTATAAAAGCTGAAGCGAGTTAAGGCTCCCCGCCTAGCTGCATGCCTGTGGAGTTATAGGAACCTCGCTTGGGTATGATGTGACAGATTTGCCACTGGCAGGTCAGCCAGAGGGATGGGAGGGCTCTGGGGCTTCAGCTGGAATCTGACTGTAGGATTAGACACCAGCGTCACACACGCTGCTCAGGGTTTCCTGTGACGGTCCCCTGAGTGCACCACGGTATCGTCTCTTCTACTCTACAAGAATCAAAGAGGGGCTGGGGATTTAGCTGGGGCTGGGGATTTAGCTCAGCGGCAAAAGCGCCTGCCTGGCAAGTGCAAGGTCGTGACTTCGGTTCCTGGTACCGGAGAAAAACCAAAACCAAAAAAAAAAAAAAAAACCAAAAGAATCAAAGAAATTTCACCCTAGTCTTTCTCTCCATTTCCCCAGTTCTCTACATCTTTATCCTAGGTCCCCAACTCGGAAGTACTAAGGAAAAAAAAGGAGATCTATTACTGTGATTTAGCTACATTTGTACAAATATATAATTAGCATTGCTGCATTAAACATTAATATATGGTTATTAAAGTAGCTAATATTTAAGCACATTTACGCATGTTAATAGAACTTTGAAGCAAACAGATGTGCTCTCATCAAGTCTAAGATTATAATAATTATTATGTTACTGTAACAGCTAGCAGTATATACAGGCAGGGACTGTTCTAAACAATCTTACACATATGAATTAATTTATTCCTGAAAGTAACAGTAGGATGTAGTGACTACCCCCACTTAACAGATGATGAAATTAAGATAGAAAGAAGTTAGGTAAGTTATTAAGGTCATACAACTAGTAAGATAGAAAAGCCAGAGTCTGAACCCAGGTAAATGATTAAGATGATTTGTTTTGAGAGGTAAGAAGCTATGTTGCCTTGCACTGTTATCCAAAGAAGTGCATTACTAAAACTCCCTAGAAGAAGAAAATTCTAATTTTCATTTTTCCTGCAGCCTTCCCCATGCAGGGCTTGTTGTACAGTGTGTCTCCCCATTCAAATACCCCCCAGCTGCAAGCACTCGAACAGGTGCGATGGAAGTAAAGATCTCATTTCACTTGCTATTTGCTTTTATTAACACTGTGCAGCAGTATTTATTAACTCTATTGTTTTTGTTCTTTTACATGTTGGTGGCCCACAGATAGTCTGGGCTCAAATAAGCAAGGCAAGGTGCCACTGGCCATCTAGTGAGCATCAGTGAATCATCCGAGGGCCACAGAGCAGAGCTCCACACCCCATCTCTCAACCAAGAAGGGAATTCTCTGCGGAAGGTCAGCTGCTCTGTGCCTCTAATTGTGTAGCGTGGCAGTGCAATGCAGGTGTCCACATACAACTTCCCCTGAAACCTCAAGGTCTAAAATAAGCTCGAGAAGTCAGCTTCTGTAGCAGGCCGACTTTCTTCGTGTATGAACTGTCCCGTACCAAGGGTGTTAGGTATATGGCATCACTTTCTTGTTTGCATCTGTTCTGTGGCAGCCAAGAAGCATGACCGATACTCTGTACTCCTATCCACGCTGCCTTTGTCAAATCACAAGGTTAATTTCTTACTCTGCTGTGGAAGATGTTCTCAACAAATATAACATGGTAGTATGTCTTCGCTTTCTGCCAACCTTTTAAAATCAGATTTTCTGCTGCTTTGTTGTATGTGTGCCTCACAACTGGAATAGAGTTCAACTTAAAAAATATCCCATCTGAAATACTGATTCTTTCCAACAAAACATTTCATTCATGGTATTTATTTTTTTTTTTTAATTTTTTTTTTTTTTTGGTTTTTCTCCGGTACCGGGAACCGAACCCACGACCTTGCGCTTGCCAGGCAGGCGCTTTTGCCGCTGAGCTAAATCCCCAGCCCATTCATGGTATTTATTATACTTGTTGGGCTGTATGGGCAATCATTCCATTTAGTCATATGTTTTTCATTTCTATAATTTTTAAAAGTTTTAATTTTTTTCTGCTTTTATATGAACGTTTCTGCTCATCCTTTCTCCCTCCTCCCGTCACATCCAGGCACACTGGTTCTCAGCGAGGAGAGGACGTTGGTAAATAAAACTCTGCTCGCTGAATACCTGTAATTTTCTATCTACTGGAAGTGGCTTGGATTGGGGTTGAGAATGGTGCAAGGTTATGAACTTAGTCACTGTCATTTTGACCAGGGAACGAATGATCTTCCGAATCTTTATGCCTCCTATAACAATGCAAAGCTGTATTTCCTGGACTGGTCTGCATACAAATTTCATCTAGGATATTTGATAAAAATACAGATAAGAGGGCTCACTGCAGACTTGCTGAGTCATAATGTTTAGAACCATAGCCTGAAATAAGAAAAAAATGTTGAATAATGTTCTCAGTCAAGTCCTGTCATTGAACAAGTTGGAAAAACACAGTTTTCAAATATGCCATTATATAACTCAAAAGGTCTGCCAACCTAGAAAGAAAAGGTAGACTATGATTTTGCTAAAACCAGTGTTCTCTATAAGTCTGAAAGAGTGGCAAAAATGGAAGAGGTAATAAAATGTTAAAGAAAAATTTGGGAAACTACCTTATTGTCAAGGTTCCCTTCTCTCACATTACCTAGATTGTGACTTACTTTTAGAAGTTTTAAATTCCAGTACATGTGATGCATGTATTCTGAAGAGGTTAAAACTATATTCCAAAGTGAAATAATTTGATGGTCACACTTGTGACTGGGTCTCTTCATTGTATGAATAATATTAGCAAGATATCTACACAAAAAGCTTTACACACTATTTAAATTTATATTTCATAATTTTACTCATGCATAAATTTACTAACCAAAAAGATGGAGTGCTTATTGCATACTTAAAAATTTCTACCTTCAAATATCTTAACATGTTCTTTTAAAAAATAGTAGAACCAATAAGACATTCTACATTTATACATTTTTATGTTACTCCTGCATTATAACAATGTTACAAAGACAATGAAAATAAAATACATGTCTACGGCCATACCACCCTGAATATGCCCAATCTCATCTGAAAATAAGATGCAGCAATATCCTATGAACAGAAACTACTGCAATAGCACACACAAACATGTTATTTTCAAGTTCCTGAAGCTTTAATTTATAGAACCGTTATAACAACATTTTATAATATAAGTGATACAACTATTTTTAAAATATGTTAATTTAGGAGAACCACTTTAATATGACAGCCTTCTTGAATTTGACAACTAGAGTTAACATTTCATTTAAAAATATTTGTGATGTAACAACTATGGTTAATTTCCTATCATCTTGTTTTGAAATTCTGTACTTTTTCATTGTTTTGGGTTTTTTTGTATTTTTCTCTTTAAAATAAAATAAAAAAAATTTTTCCAACTGTGAAACCGTATAAAATGAAAAAATATTTGTGAGGTACTATTTAATGATATGGCATAGTGAGTGTGCTATTTTATTTATATCAGGCAAACAGTATATTACTGCATCGAAAATACATTACACTGCCTCAAAAGACAAGGGTGTACCTGACATTAATATTCATGACAAAACATTATCTTCTCACCTATAGAGTCGGGCAACTGTTGCAACATATTGGATGACAGTAAGAGGTCTTCAAGAGCTTCACAGCCAGAAATATCCATGTCAACTGTTTCTATCCTGTTTTTTGACATATCCAGGTATACCAACATCTTTAACTTCCCTATAGACTTGAAGACATTGGATAAACTCAGGGTTAGTTGAGAAACTTTCAGGAGACATTCTAAAGCCATAGAAATTGCAATACCATAAAATTAATTTAAAAAGCAACCACAACTGGGCGTGGTGACGCATGCCTGTAATCCCAGTACTCGGGAGGCTGAGGCAGGAGGGTCATCATGAGTTCGAGGCCAACCTGGGCTACAAAGTGCATTCAGGCCAGTCTAAACTGCACAGTGAAACCCTGTCTCAAAAGACCAAAAAAACAGAAAAGAAGCAAGCACAACAGTGACAAGTGCTGCAAAGCACGTAGAAATATTGTAGCCCTCACTCATGTATCACTAGTCAGAACGTGGTGCCTCCACTTGGGAAAACAGCTTGGCACCTTTTGTAAATGTTGAACATAGAGTTTTCATTCGACCCAGCGGTCCTTACCTGGAAACCTGAGAATAAAAACAAATGCACAGAGAAAGCCTTACACAAATTGTCCCAGCCGCTATATGCATAACGCCCCCCAGTGGTGGCAGCATACACTTGCACCCTGTGATGAGTGGGTGGACAGAATGCGTCTGTTCATGTAATGGTGTATTATCTGGGGTAAACAGTGAGGTGTTGTTGCATGTACAAAATGGATGAGCCTGCCGAGATGCCAGTAGCATCTTGTGTTGCATATAGTATGATTCTATTTGTATGAAATGTCCAGAACGGGCAAACCCATAAAGTACAGCCAGGTTACTGGGTGGGGTGGGGTGGGGCGTGGGAATGACTGCTAATGGATTCAGAGTGGCTGTTAGGGGGGATGAAGATGTGGGGATACATCGTGAGGATAGTTGCACATCTAAAAACTCAGTGGCTCAAAACCACTGAGTCATATACGGAATGTGAATTATATCCAAGACAGCAGTCAAAGGATATACACCAATGCAACAGGCAAAACACAACAATAATCCCGAAGTTACCACTGGATAAAATAACTAAGTACAGTTGCTACTGCAATAGAGCACATTGCTTTAATAAAATTTAAATGCATGTACAATGTGTAATCTTGGAAACAACCCAAATGTCCATCAACCAGGGAATGGATAAAAAATATGTAATTTTTTTTTATACAATGGAATACTACTCAAGTATAAAGAAGGATAAACTCTAGGCTTTTATAGGTAAGTGGATGCAACTAGAGACCATATTCATAAGTGAAATAAGTCAGACTCACATGTGTAAACATTGTATTGTTGCCCTAGTGTAAGAAACCGAAAGAGTAAGATCCAAAAGGTACAATAGATATTGTGGAGGGGAAAGAAGCTGCTCAAAAGGAAAGAACACCTGGGATGGGGAAAAGGAGAAAAGAAGGAAGGGAAAAGAAAAAATAATCTCTATACACACAAGGTAGCTACAATAATTATACTACTGATCTCTATTAGTTCATTGAAAGGAACAGTTTGTGCTTATATTGTTTGATCAGTTTTGCATGCCTATATCTGGCAATCTGAGCAACTACTTTGAAGATAACAGTAGCAATATTAACCATTGTTAATTTCTTGTTTTGAAATTCTGTATCACTGCTTATATTTTTTTGCTCTTTAAAATAAAATTTAAATGCACAAGCAAGGTTTCAAATTGTGACTTGGGCTTTATTCTACTCATCTGATTCAATGTTTTGCTCACTCATCAGTGCTTTTTGGAGGTCTGTTGTGTACCACTGCCTGTGTTAGATACTTGAAAACAAAACATGAGTCAGATGACTGAATATGGGGAAGAACTTGTCACAATGAAGACTGTTTTTATTTTTTCCATAGTGAGGAGCAGTAGTGAAGAAAACATCGGAATAAACAAATAATCACTGTACTTAGCGATATATACAAGTGAATGTGTGTAGGGGATTCCGTGGAAGAGCAGGGCAGGGTTGCAGATTTTCCAACAGACCCTGCTTGTCAAGCAAGCAGGAGGGGGAAGTGAGAACACATACTACATCCGCGGAGAAGTGTGAAAGACTGTGGCAGTGCTGACAGAAGTGAGATGCTTGGAGTAACGGAAGTTTGCGATGGAGCTGGGGTTATGGGAGAAGTCAGCTGGTGAAAGGCCTTGCGTGTCGTGTGGGAGATGCGACCTGTCTAAGGCGAAGACGGGAAAGGACACGATCATATTTGTGCTCAGAAAAACAAGTACAGGAAACTTTCAGAAAGACCATTCATGACTGGAGTGAAGGAAACCCACGAGGAATAGTGTACACTTGGCCCTTAGCACTGATGAGCACCTCGGATCAAAAATATTTGGGAAAAGAACACACACATCAAACACATACAAATTTTCTTCTGTGTCACTATTCCCTAAACGATACAGCAGAACAACTGTTTACACAGCATTTACATTGTATTAGGCATTATAAATAATTTAGAGATGATTTAAAAATATTGGGGAGAATATTTACAAATCATATGCAAATATTACAGCATTCCGTAAAAGGAATTTCAACAGCTGCAGATTTTGGTATCCAGGGACGTGGGAGTGTCCCTGGGACCAATCTTCTGTGGACACCAAGGGACTCATGTAAGGAGGTAGTTTAGCCCCTTAGCAATTTAGTACTAAAAGCAGCAGACGTGAGGATGAACAGGAATGAACCTAAGAATGATGGGATTGCTAACTGGTAGTGACAGAGGAGGTAATCAGCTCATCATCAGCTCTTGGATAATGAAGGAGAAGTTACCACTTAGCTCAGACATTCACTATAGGAGTTAGGGCAAGGTGGAGGGTGAAAGTCTTCATTTTCTTAGGGAATGTTTTACAAATAAATGCCCCATACAATTTGGTTGTTCAGTGATTCACCTAATTGATCTACCTGTATATATAACTTATACATATATGTGTGTGTATATATATATATGGCCTTTATTTATTTGACAGAATATAAACATTAGTTGATGTGCACATATAAATGTATACTAGATACCATGCTATATATTTTATATATTAAAAAGTTAATTCTTTATGCTTTTGTGACTCAAAATGTATTCTGTGACCAACCACACTGACCTGGAAGCTTGTCAAAAAAACAGACTCTCAGGCCAATCCAGACCTTAGCAGGCATTAAAGCTTAGTGTGTAGGTAATGCCACCAGTTGAGATCCTTGGGCAGCAGAGGTAAAGACAGAAATATGCGACAGAGTCCTCTTGGAATCACAGCAAGGGGAAGGGAAGGAAGAAAATGGACAGACAAACTGGGCTGAGATGGAGTCCTGAGAAAATCCTTAGCCCGCGCTTCAAGAAGTATAGACGACCTTGCCCAGGTCCTGAGTAGGGGCCCTGGGGCTGGGCCCTATCATCCTCGCATGGACGGGTCATAGGCTGGAAGTCTCCCTGAATGGGGCTATGACCCTGGAGGGTCTCTTTGAAAAGGGAACCCCCAAGGAGCATGGGGGGGGGTGCAAAGGTTATTTCCAGAACCTGGGGAGCAGAACATGTTCTTTGTGGCCGGAAGAGGACACAAAACAGCATCTACTACAAGCCACATTCCCAGCTTACTCTTTTAGAAAGGGGTGGAGCCAAAACGGAACTCTCTGATCAAACTACCGACCTGGAAGCCCAGTTACTCATACAGGCAGCTGCTGACCTCCATGTCCTCCGTTAACTGAGCACAGAGCTCCAGCCCTACGACTACTCCTTGCGTGAGCACAGCGTAGAGGAACAGTCCAGGAGGAGAGGAGTTGCTGGTTTTGCAGCAAACACATTCCTTGGAGAGTTGGCCCCGTGGGCAGGGCTTCTCCTACTACTTAGCAATATGTCACCTGGAAGAAACTGTCATTTTACTGTAGTTTTCCACCCCTTGGAACTATTATGTCGCCTTAGCCCACGCTTTACTTTAGCTGAGGAATAAAAGAATGTTACATGTGCTTATATGTGTGTGTGTGTATTTCTTTCTTTCTCTGTTCTTTTATCATGAGAAAAATCTCTTTCATCCCTGGAGCTCCTTTGATTGCTCTCCCACTCTCTCTGGCACAGCTCAACACTTTGGAATTTCTAATCTTCAGTTTCTGAACGTCCTGTTTGGAAGCAAAATAACACTTTGGCATCTACTTTTGAGTCTTTCTCAACCTTCACCTGCAAACGCGTTACAAGGGCATGAGCAGCCCAGGGAACAGGGCTCTGAGGCTGTACTCCTCTGGCCTGGAGGATGCTGAAGGCTGCTTCTCCTTCCTCTGGGCATAGGGGACTTTGCAAGTGAGTCAAGGACAGCAAATGAAATGAGTGGAAATCACAAGCCGAGGACGATACTGGAGTTTGTTTAAAAACCAGTATAAGGGGCCAGGGAGTTCGCTCAGACGCACAAGCACCTGCCTGGCAGGCACAAGGTCCTGAGTTTGAATCTGGGTACCAAAACAAAGCAAAACAAAAATACAAATGCAGTCCGTGGTGTACTCATATTTTATTTGATTAGCTTTAGATGGATGGTCATGAGACAGAGCTACCTAGATGAAATATTTAACTGCTTCCTATTCGACCTTTCTGCTTTATGAAAAGGAGAGTAGAAAACAATAGCCCTGGCTTCCAAAAGTATATTAACTTAATGTAGCATGATATGTGAACTAAGAAAAAAGTGAGCTTGCTTTTTTTCTTGCCTTATGATATTAAATATTTAAGATTAATCACTACATGAAACTGACAGACCGGGACTGAAGCCCACCCACATTCTGCTTTTCTAAATCGAGTGTTGCCCAGTAATTTAAAAGCAACTATTTTCCAGTACTAACACTGAGAAAGCCATGGATATTTATGGCAGAGAGGTGTGAGGTATTCCCACACGGGTTATAGCAAAAAGTCACATCTGAGTGCAGACCAACTAAAGTAAGGAGTCTACTTAAAGCTGGAAGAACGTGCAAAATTTCCAAAAAGACAAATTAGGCACAATAAGCTTATTAAGGAATTTGGGGTTTGGGCTGATTTGCACAGTTGGATTCTGAGACCATGAGCACTGTGAAGAGTGCAGTGAGTGTAATTCTCACTGTACCTTCTACTGGTTTGTGGAGACAGCACATGAAAGCATCCCAAGGGAAGCATCCCCTGGAGCTGGTTTGAGTCACAGCTCTGTCCCTTTGGATCTGCATGACCTTGGACTAGTGAACTGGGACCTACTCTGAAGGGTTGTTACGAGGATTCAGTGAGTCAATATTTGTAAAACCTCTAGATAGTTCCTAGCTTATGATAAGTGTTTTTTGTGTTTTTGAATAAATAAACATATTGAAGAGGCAAGTATAAATTTCCAACTAGTTATACACTCTGACTCAACCTCTGCCCAGGGAATCAATAAATATCTTACCTAGATTGCACCAAAACTTGTACAGACAGTAGTCTCCCCCTATTATTTGTGGGTGATAAGTTCCAAGACATCCTGTGGATGTTTGGAACTGCCATTATGACTGAACCCTATCTATATGCACTATGTTTTATTCTACCCATAAATGTTTATGGTGAAAGTTATCAGGCACATTAAGGGATAAACAGCAACAGCTGATAATAAAATAGAATAATCATAAAAATACTATAATAAACATTATTTAAAACTTATAAATTATTTATTTCTGGAATTTTCTATTTGGTATTTTGTACTATGGGCAACTGAAACTGGAAAGCAAAACTTTAACTGGGGAGGCTATGGTACTCTGAGCACGGCATAAATTGGACTCTGCGCTGTGGAACCCAGGTCTGATTCCGCTGCTATGCATCACTCAAACAAATATATTCAAAGTCAGTGAATGGATTATCTTTGTAGCTCTGACACTGAAGTAGTATCTGATTCACAGAGGTCTACGGGTAAACAAGCTGTGCATCAATCAATAAACTGAGGATGTGCAACTCTTCTGTGTGTGATAATAGAAACACATCTTTCCGATATAAGAAAGTATTTTCTCCCTACTCTTCTTCCAGTTATTCTTCTTTCTGTGGTCTCACACTTGTTCAAAGAGGGAATGACCTTTCTGTTCTGGTTATTGTTGAAATCATTTGAAGAGACAGAACAACTACAAGAAGAGCCAAACTGGCTTTGGGAACACATCCTCTGTGTTGGTGGAAGAATTATTACACACGCACCTGCTTGGATTCTCTCGCAAAAGACAGGAGTTTGGGAGTGGGATGTTTGGGAGACTTGTATTTGGTGTGTGTGTGTGTGTGTGTGTGTGTGTGTGTATGCTTCACAGTACTGGGGATTGAATGCAGGACCTCTGCACTGAACTACATTCCTATCCCTTTTCTATTTTGATACAGGCAAGACTCAAATTTGAAATCTTCCTGCCTCAGCCTTTTAAGTCCTGGGATTACTGGTGTGCACACTGCCCTTGGCTTACAATTTTTGTTTTTAATGCTCTATAATCCTGACCATTTCCAAGCATTTAAGTGGGTTTCATTGGACATTGCCTAAACTGAGAAAGATTTTCATTTTGAGGAAGAACTCTAATAACATGAACAGAAACTGTTGTGCAGTTACCTATGTGTAAACATGATATTGTCTCCTTGGTGTAGGAACCTGAGAGACTAGGTAAGCCTCAAAACGTACAGTAGATGAAAGGAAAGAGAAAGAAATTGCTCAAAGGAAGGAATGACTGGGATGAGGGAAAGAAGAAAAAAGGAAGGCAAAATATAAATATGTATATAAACAGCTGCGATGACTATATTGCTGATGTCTGATGGTGTATTGAAATGAACAGTTAATGCTTACAATTTTTTATGTTCTGATCGACTTTGCATGCTTGTGTCTGGTGGTCTGAGCAACTGATCTGAAGGTAACAGTATGCAATGGAATTACAATGGTGAACTCCTACCATCTTGTCTAGTGAGACTCTATTATATTATCCCTAATGTTTTATGGAAGAATTATTTTCTTATTCCCTGTAATGGTTTGAGCAACCTTTCATTCTTACATCTGGTAATCTGAGCAGTGTAGTTGAGGATAGTGATATGTAATGTAACAACCACTGTTGATCTGTATTATTTTGTCTTGAGACCCTGTATCACTTTGAATGATCTTGCTTTGATTTGTTTGTGTTCGTGATACTGGTGAGCTTCTACTGTTCTATTTTTTTGTTTGTTTGTTTCTCATTTACTACTCTCTTAAAAAGGAAATAAAAAGAATATGCCAGTTTTGTAAAATAAAATTTGCTACTCTAGATTACATTTCTCTTTTGAAAACATAACTGAATTTTTCAACATTTACCAAGTAGTGAGCTTGAAAAAAGATGATAAATATATTCACATGAGAATAAAAAAAAATCTTTCATACAGTTTTTGTACCTTTATCATGCCACAAAAGATACATAAAACATTCTAAAAGAAATTCGTGAAAAATATTTGGTGACCAAACACTCCTAACAAGTATTACTTTACTTTGATATGCAAACAATGAGACCTAAGATTTAGGATTGATTATTATCAACTATAGTTTGCAATGTGAATGTTAGATGACACACATATCAACCCTACATACCCCAGGCAGCACTTGTAATGCGTTATTATCCATCCACAGCTCCCTTAAATTTTGTATTTGATCCAGAACTTCAGGCTGAGAGAGAGAAAGGAGAGAAGAAAATAAAACCAAGTTAGCCTTTTTTATCACAAAATCTAGGTATCATTTCTGGGATCTCAAGCTTTTATTTGGGAATCAAATGTTAGTGCTCTTAGAAATTATAAGGCTAACAGATCTCCAATGAAAGTGGGCATCCTTGAGGTGGCCAATCCAGAATTACTTGGAATCAATCAAAATAATAAGAATTCAAATTAAGATCTATTATCCAGCTACCTTAATCTAGTCCCTAATGCTTTTCAATTATCCTTCGTATCATTCTTTATACTCTAATTACTCCATAAATTTCTGCTGCACTAAGAAGCAGAAGGAGCCCAGGAATCCTCCCGTCCCACAGCATGTGGGAGGACAGAGTGACTCAGAAGAGCGGAGAAGGGAAGAAAGACTCGATCCAGGTGGGACACTCACTGTGTAACGAGGCACTCACTCCCTAGGTGGGAGCCCTCTGTATCGTTCCTCCTGGGCATCAGATATGCACATCTGAAGAGGTCACCATTGCTCCCAGCACCATTTTGCTCCTGGTAGTGGCCTCTCTGAGAAACTCTCTCCAGAAATTGTCCCCTCCCCTCTTCTTCCAGGTGCTTCCTTTATAGTCCTCTTTGCAACTCTGTGGAAGCAGCTAAGGTCTGAACTACTGAGTGTGGTACATTTACCTGGCCACAGGGATTAGTTTGCAGATAGGAACATGATCCGTTCAGAACATACATAAAGCCAGGTGAAGGTGACTAGGATTCTAGGGGAAAGACTCTTGTTCTTTCCTGCTGGATTAAAGATTGCAAATATGTGTCTGAGGGAATTGCACGGGTGAAGCAGAGGGGAGAGACTGTGTGAGGAGGCAACTTTCACAGATGAGGGCTAAAAGGTGGATCTCAGTGGCACCATATCATCCTGGAACGAAGTCATACACGAAACCAGATGCTTTGTTCTGAAAGAATTATTACTTACTGCAGTAATACAATACAACGCAGTTCAATGAAATTCAGAACCCAATTGGGAAAGCCAGTGCATTTTATAAAACACTTGTAGAAAGGAGCAACAGAATTGTATCAAAGTCACACTGAGAGTATTGCAAACTGTAAGTCAGTGGAGTTATACAAGCGTCCTTGACCACTAAATCGGCCTGAGAGGTCTACTTTGCAGACAGTTCCCAATGTGTTTAGTTTGGGATTGCAATGGAGCAAAGCAGGATTCCCAGGAGAAATTCCCTTTACAACCTGGATTGAAATCTAAAGTTAGAGACATGGCATTCTGCTGTGGAATCAGAGACTTGTGTGAATAAGTAAGGGGGACTTTCTGTAGAAGAAATATCCCTAGTGTCACTTATCAGGAGCAGGCAATGAGCTAGTCCACTCGCACGTTAAGCCAGGCCAGGATGGAAAGTGCAGTCACGGCTAGGAAGCACAGTCTGCAATGCACAGGCTTCGCAGCAGGGGGCTGGCTAGCCACAGGCAGGCCGGGTGGAAAACACCCCTTATGTGGGGCAGTTTTCCCAAAGCCTGGGAGTTGTGCAGATTTAAGCAGAAGGGAAAGAGCTGCACTCTACAAAAGGTTAACAAAACCTTATATGTACATGAGAGGACAAAGACTAATATATAAGCTTAAAATAATAAGCATGGAACAGGGGTAGGTCATATTATGCCATGGAAACAAATACATCCTGAAATCTCAGTGGCTTAACATGACACACTTACTACCCGCTCCTGAGTCAAGTCAACCCTGGCTTCTCACTCACAGTCTTGTGGTACCTTCTTGTCCAGACTTCCAGAAGAGCCAAAGCAGGGGAAAAGCAGAGATGGCAAACTCACTACTACGCTTAAAGATATTGTGCTGGGAGTGACATGTATCGTTATGTAAATATTCAACCTAAGTGCAAGGAGCATTGGGAGATCTAGAAGGGATTCATGGAATGTTTGGTAAATATGAGTGTCTCTGCCATGAGGTGACACTGTATGAAGAAAACAGTGATCAGAATGAGTAAGAACACTTTCATACTTTATTCGTTGCTTTGTCAAGTATGCACTTGTCAGCTAAGTGGTGGGCATTACACTGGAGTCATAATGCCTAGGGAGGTCTCTGTCCTGAAAGAATGCATGCTCTGTTTTAAGGAAACACACAGAGAGAAATCCACTATATTATGGGAATCTAAAGGCTCTGGTTGTGAGGAGGAGCCAAAGGAGGAACTATGAGGTTGAGGCGAGAGCAAGTGGACCTGTGGAGAGGGGATTTAGCCGGAAGAGGAGCGGTGGGAAATAGCTGATGAGTGAGTGAGAAGGGACAGGTGGTTTGCTTTCTGAGAGGGTCGTCTGAGACAGATTGAGCAGCAGGAAGTGAGGCTAGTAAAGGAGGACGAGGTACTACAAAGACCTTGTGTGTCTTAAGGAGGTAGGATTTTACTGTATGGTTGAAGGAGCTCTGGTAAGAGATTTTTCAATGGGAATGATTTCAGCAGATTAGTGATATAGAACTGCAAACTGATAGAAAAGGAAAAACAAGAACAGGAAAGCTTATTAGGGTTGGTTATGAGAGAGGTAATGAGGAAGAAAGAGAAACTGAATTCAGGAAATATTTAGAAGATGAAAGCGGTAGGACTTGGTGACTGGAGGTGAGGGGTGAGACGCACCTGTCCCCCAGTTCTTCAGCAAGAAGTGGTTCTGCCAATGGCCAGGCAGGATATCCAGGCAGGAGCAGATACAGAATTTGATTTTGATGGAAATTAGCTTTAAGTTCCTGTGGACATAGTGAAGCTGTCCAGGAATTTGCTGGCTGTGAAAATCCAAAGTGTAGGGAGTAGCTGCAGATATGACTTAGGCATTTTGTGGCAGGGAGCAGAAACCCATGTTGATGACCTGTCCATGGTGAACGGGAAAGCAGTGCAGCTGAAAGGACTATACCTTGAGGTATCCTAGCCCTTGAGGCTTGAAACGGAAAGAGCAACCAGTGGGACAGGCCAAGAAGGAATGGAGTGCAGGAGTTGAAGGGTCTCTGGAGTACAGTGAGCAGAGCTGTGTTAGGGGTAAAGAAGAGAACGAGAGCTTCACACACAGGATAGGTGTCCTGTAAGACAAAGGTAGAAGATACACATTTGGAAACAGTAGGTCATTATAACCTCGGTGATAGCCATTTCGGGTGTTAACTATGGACTGAAGATGTATAAAAGGAAAATAAGTGGGGAAAATAGAGGACATTTTTTATAGAATAGAATACTCTTTGTAAAGTTTAGATGGAAGAGAGGAGAGAAGTTGGGGGGCTGCAAAGAAACCAAGAGGTCAAGGGAAAAAGCTGATGGGAAAGTACCAGCAGAGAAGAAGGGAGAGAGAGAATATAAAAACAAAGGAATAAATTCCAAGAAGAGGTGGAGATTTGGAATTCAAAGCACAAGTGAAGGGGCTGAGCTTGAACGAAGTAAGGCAATTCATTTGCTTGTATTTGAGGGGAGACAGCAAGGATGGTTTGAGCGCAGGTAGGCAGGGTACAGGGAGGGCTAGCAGTCTGCAGAAAACATATCTGCAGTCCTGAAATTTTTTGGTGCATAGATAAAAGGGTACATACTGGAATAGTCTGAGAGGAAACAAAGGCAATGAAGAGTTCTCTCAATGAATTTATTAAAATTCTTTTTCTGGGCCAGGAAGAGAATTTACAATTTAGAAGAAAATGTGATTAGTGTGTACTATAAACATGTACTAATAAAAACCAAGAAATCCTAATAAAAGGCAATGGAAGAGACAAACAACTTGGGTTTCATTTGGCCGGAGAAGACTTATAGTAGGAGTGGGAGACAGGGAAAATTACAGAAGTGAAAAGTAGAATGAAAGATCAGAATTAAGGGGCTGAAGATTCTCAAAGTAGTTCTACCAGTGACAACCTGGGAAGAGTTGGCTAGGGTAGGAAATAGGGAGACTGGGGGCTCCAAAGGGGAGACGTTTAGTGGAATGTTTTTACTCAGCTTCTAAGGAGCAGAGAAGCCTTCATGCACTGCATAACCTCCCCACTTGGCTGGGTTCGGCAAAGTAGCAGAGAAAGCTGCCTGATCAGACCCCTGAAATCTCGAACACAGGGTTCTACTGGGGAGCCTAGGCATCTATGACTGCTCGGAAAAGGGTAACTACGACCATCTACATTTCTGCTTTATTGCAAAAGATCTCATTCCATACACTTAATAACACAACACGGGAGTAACATCCTAGTTGATGGATGAAGAATCTGATCATCATTTCCTAGGGTAAATGAGAACAACTTGATGAGCGCTGCAGAACTGCAGCTGGGATTGTTCCTCATGTCTTTGGACTCCAGAGATGACATCATGCTAGAGCCTAAAATGGAAATTCCAAAAGAACAGAGAGAGCTGGTGATCATGCCCAACAAGGAGAGTGGCGCATAAGCTGGGTTTCTAAATAAAAGATATTTTTATTACTAGATGTTGCAATCAAATGAATTACAGCAACTTCCTAATAATAGCGGAGACAAAACATAGTTAGCAGATCAATACACAGTCTCGCTGGAAAGAAAAAAACAACACATGAGTATGATACAAGAGTATTCCATGATCAACATAAATATTTAAAGAGGATCTTGGAACTAAACTAGATGGCTTAGAGCCAACTTAACAAAAATTACTTTTTCTTGCTACTTAATTTCATCACAAAGTGAATTGTTTCCATTAAAAATCAGTGAATTAAGAATGATTGGGTGGATGCAATTCTGATGAAGGTGCTATGAAATAAGAGCTCTGATAAACTTGTTTGGGGATTACAAATTGTACTCTTTTGGAAAATATTTTCAAATATGTATCTCATGCCTACAGAACTTTCACATTTGCTTTTAGGTAACTATCCTACCTACGTTTCTAAAACAGAGAAAATCTTAATAGAGAGAAATGTTAACTGCAGAGCAATGATTAAAAACTTGGTTGCAATCTTAGTAAGCCTACACTCTAAAAGAATAAGCAAATTATGATAAAGTAATATATTGGTATAGGGTAC